CTTCGAAAATATATATAACAAATATTATCTAAAATTTTAAATTATTTGTAACTTGCAATTCATTATTAATTTGTTTATTTTCCCGTAAAAATTTCATTTAAAAAAAACTATTTTAGATAAATAAAGAAATTTTTCTTTCGATTTCCCCTTGGCATAATAATAGAAAAATACGCGGATAAAGTATACAATTGTCTTGTATACACTTATGTAAAAAATTATACTAAAGTACACTTATTAACCAAACTGTAGAAAAAAAGTATTACATATATATTATAGTTTATATACATTTTCTTTTTCCATAAAGGAAACTCGATACGTGTTAGAATTAGCTATTACTACTCGGACGTAACAGGAATATATTATAATTAAGTAGGTACAAAATGAATAGACAGACGCATAAAAAAATGAAATGATAATAAATTATAAGTGCTATCCACTTATTAACGTCAGAAAAAGAGTTGTTTTTAAAATTACAAATTACTACTCTTAACAGCTATTAAATATTAAAAATTCTATCGACGACTTTTAGACAGCGACGAAATTTCGAACGTGATAATACTTCTAATTGAAATTCGATTCGTTGTTAAAGATTAGTCGAGGCCAAATGCTATTTTTCATTTGGTACGCGCACAAATTCGACAATATATTCCGTCAAGAAATTTTCCGTTGAATATCTCATTTTGGCATCCCCAGATAACAGATTTTCGACTGAGTTTTAATTGATAGAGGGGAGGAAAATATATCAATGCATGTTTGCCTCTTAAAATTTGTCATTTCGGTTATTCGTAAATATATTTAAGTAAAAATAATTTAATATTAAAAAGGAGAGATTTCTTACTTTTATGCGCTGTAGTTTCGAACACATCCAACTCTGCGTCAGTACCCTGGAAGAAAAATAACAATTTGAATTTTTTTTAAAAATACAATTATATCAAANTTGAAAACTCTCCTATATTAAGTAGAAAATTTATTTTAATAATAAAAACTGACGTTTTTACTAATTTACTTCCTCTAAATGCTTTCTTGTAGTAATAAGTTTAGTTCTTTCCAGACAAACCAAGATTTCCAATAGTAAAAAAACCGCCTTACGAAAACAGATTTCTACCGTATATTATTAATCACGCATTCGGTTAAATGAAGAAATAAAAATATTCTAGAAAAATATAATCTAGATTACATTACAAGACAAAGAGCACGTTCTATAATTAACTTCTTATAAGCGGATGATAAATGCGATTTTGTGAATGAACGAGCGATTTCTGCACAGACTTTGTATAACTTAAACATGACGTCAGCACAATTTATCATTTTGATAAATTATAAGCAAAGATTACAATTGTATTACATAATGATAATCAAATCTGTTGAATTTGTATATTATAAAACTTTTATTCGCTTCCTTTACTAAATTTACTAGTAAATCGATTATTATAGGCGAATCGCTATTCGTAAAAACGTCCCAGTACTTTCTTATGGCTTACGTAAAGAAGAAAAATAAGTTTAGAGTAGCGACAGTCAACCGAGAACGACATAGATAAATATTATGTTTACTCACTAATAAAGACGACAGTGTGACAGAGATATTTTCGGCACTCGTCTCAAACTGACTACTTTACTTACGTCACCTCACGACGGCTATAAAATCGTGTCTGAATATCCTTATCGCATTGGAAACATTCCTAACCAATTCGAACATTGGATATCTCCGCCGGGTAATATTTTACGATCATTTAATTTATTTATTTATTGTTATACATATCCTCCGTCAAGAAAAATATTTTCGTACCAAATAATAAAAATGCCCATAAAGTTTTATTTCGATCGGAGCGGTCGCAGATTTATCATTCGATGGAAAATTATTAACAGGGTTTCGGATTCAGTAGACAAGAGTCCATTATTGAATTAAACTGCAGAAAAATCTTTCACGCGTTCGATTTATATGAAATATGTTTAATTTTCTGATGGACGAAACTAAAGAAGCGTGTAGAAATAACCTCTCTCTGGAGAAAATACGTCTCAGTATACCAATCTAGTACGCACTGTTCTTTTAAGTTGAAGTACTTTTCGCTTTGTCCCCACCTGTACAATCTACATCTAACCTAATCGGTAGAATGTAATTCGCCGTTTAGTTTTCCGTAGAAGACTAAAAATAAGTAAATATAAATTCGCAAAAAAAATACTTACTTGTTCAGTCTAAACGACGTTAAAAAGCGACCGACATAGGAATACCAAGGCAGAAAAACATCTCGATTATTAATTACTTGGCAACAGAGAGAGATAGCTACGAAAACTGTTGGTAAAACGGGAATTTGCGAAAATATTTCTTCCATTAATAAAACTCTACACAAAATCCTATTCGTCGACTATTTTTAAATGCATTTTCTCTCGGACCCGGCACTGGAAGTGAAATTTTTCGTCACCACTCGGACAACGTACGGTACATTTGGGTGGAACGTGGCGACGAAAGGAATTAATCGCGTAATATATCCATTAAGAAAGCGAAACGTCTCCTTCTTCGAACCGAATGCCTTTAATAACCGCGATTTATGCAGCCGAACGCAATTCGGCTTTCCAACGTAATGCCGAAAGACGGGAGGAGAAAGCGGAGCGGTCGTCAAGGCAACGAACGTGACCGAGTGAGTGCGACAGTCGGGAGGTGACAAGCGACGATCCCACAGGGGATAGAGCGAGTGACAAGCGAGACGTCTGGTAATCCCATACGTTCGGTCGCCGGGGACTCGTTAGCGAAATCGTTTCCCCCTCTAATGTGATCCGGCGGTAATGAAGACGTATGGACCACCTTTTCCTACGGCGTGGCTGACGTCATCGGAGGTTAGAGGTCGTCCGGTCCTAACCGACGACGACGTACCGACGTCGGGGGAGTCGTTTCCGGCGGGACTCTTATTAATTCCTGGCGGCGCATGCGTCCCGACATCGTGCCTCTATTCCGTCAGGCATTATTTGCTAAGTGTTAATGCAGATTGCCGAGTGCCGCGAGGTTTGAACAACACTCTCGGGAACGATCTATTATTGGAACTGCAAAGCAAATCCGTGCCTCTGCCGGCTAAACGCATGAAGTGTGAAAAAAAAATCGCCCAGGGAGATGGCGGAGATGCCACCGACCGTAATCGTCTGCCTGGATGGCTACTCGCTAACGTTCGGACGTTGCTCGAAGCTGGATGCATCCAGCAATTTTCTAAACTACTGCCGACGGCAACAAAGATGGCCGACCGACCATTTTACAAAATTTCCTTCTTTTTTTCCCCCCATCTTCCTCTTAAAAAATCGTTTAATTCGATAAAGCAATTGCCAAAGCGACAAGAGCGTCAAAAAAGAAATTCTATGGTCGAGGATTCCGGCTGTCTTCACAGATTTAATGGCTTCGTCTCGTCGTAAGAACCGGATTAAAATGTATAGAAATATACGCATAAATTAGATGAAATAAAGCAAATAATTTATTAAATAAAAGCACGCTCCGAAAGGTAATTATAAAATGGAAAATTCCTCTTTGTTTACGACAGAATTCTTAATATTTTTAAGACTTTTGGACAATTTCGACCGAATAAAAATCGCTCGAAATTCTAGTCTCCGTGCAAAAAAAAAAAATACGTTATTAATAAATATAAATAAGTAAATAAAACCGATTTCTTATCGTGCGATCGAATATTTATTTTGTCTGGAAGTAAATTTGTCACAAAATATTAATACAAAGACCAAATATTTACCGTAAATAGTAAAAATTTAATATTTATTTATTCGAGTAAAATATATTTAACTATTCGACTCGAAACACGTTTATAGTTAAAATTTTACGACGATGAAACAAACATTTATTGTATTAAATATAAATTTTGTAGAAAATTATAAGTTATATACACATAATTAATTTTAAAAAGTTGTGGATAATATTCGATTATATATACAGTAATTTTTTTTATTTATTTCTTTCAAATTAAATACCCTAATGAGTATTACAGACAATTTTTAAAATTAATCTTAGATTTTTAATAGAATTATTCAATTCGATATGTTTCTATTTACTTACTTTTTCTTCTATTATTCGATTAAACTACTTTAACGCATTCGTTTCGAATGTCTAATTACGATAATGAATAAAATTTATTGACATTAGGTTAATCTTTTAATTTGCAAAAACCAGTTTTTTCGCAATATAAATAGACAAGTTTTTGTTTTTTTCCTGTATTTTAATTAAGCGTATTTATTATATAGTTAGAGTCCTTACAAGATTTTGTTAATTTATGAGAGAAAACCAAATTTTCATCGATAACTCAGTATTACTGTCAAGCTGTTTTAAAAATTAGGGAAAAAATTTTCCAGTAACGAAGTTGCTTAACTTTCCTGGTAATATTTGAAAGTTTAGGGCGCCATTTGTTATATTTTATTATTAAAAACATTTTTTTTTATATTTTTAAATTATTATAAAATAGCAAAAAGCTTAATGTTGAGGGTAGGAATAGTTTTATATTGAAAAAAAAATGCAATAACGAGTAAAATCCTCATTAAGTCCGATTCAATTGGAGATAGATGCGACCCCCTTTATCACTGCATCCCCTCAACTTTTAATTACCAAAATTTAATAGTATCAATCTTCCTAATAAACAAACCCCCCCCGCAAAATTTCAGAAATTTTCGACAAAAAGCACAGGTGTTATTAAGCTAAGAGTGGACAAAATCGTGTCAAACACACTAACATCCATACAAGGAAAAAACCCGAATTTTTTTTTTTTTTGCATTTCTCGACGTTTCAAGGTCCCGAGTCCAAAAATATAAAAAACTTGGAGTAATTTTTTTTACCTATCGCCAGACTTTCCCTCTGTTATATAGGCCTATAATAGAGTCAAGAAGGTAATTACAGTATATTCGTAGTTTGAAAGTATATATAGTTGCAAACAGAGCATACTGAATTGATATAAAATTTGTCATTATAGTTAAAAACTGAACGATGACTGCCTTTTTAAACGAAGTTTAAATATAGACTTCGAATTTTATACAGTTTCTGTATCTAGACGAGGTATTACAGGGAATAAAGTGCTAAAGAACGCATCTGTTGTCTCGTAGCCATCCTTTATCAAAAAATATTAATAGGACACGGACAGAATTCGGATCGCCTATTATATTTTTCCAAATATTTTTACGATATGCTTAAATGCCGAAACAACTAGAGACGATAAAATCCATCTTGTGTTATTTCGGTAAATGCTGCTACAACTGAATGTAAATCACCTCGTCCAAGGGTCTATATATCTAATACAGGTACTCGTCTGAATGTCTATTTTGGGACACAATCCATAACTCCCGTTTATTCTGTTTCAAATATTTATATAATCCGTCACAGGTTTCGTTTCTTTTATAGTTAATATCTTTCTTAAAATTTAAATATCGTAGATATTTTCGTTTTTAGTATCTCAGATATATTCTAAAGAAGTCGTCGCAGACGTCTACTAATTAACAGAAAAAAAATTCGGTAAAAAATAATTACTTCTATTCATTTTATATCGATTTTTCTTCATTTTATAAACTGCGAACAGTAGTTAAACGAAGTAAAAGTCAATGTTTTCGGACGAATTTTAGAATTACAGTCGAACAACTGTTTAAACAAAAAAAATTTTTTTTTCCTTTCTTAAATGCTAAAGTGCAAAGTTTTTTCATAATTTATATAGGATAAACAGTTCGCCTTATTTGTCCATCTTATTTGTGTTATACATGTTTACAATACTTCCTATTCTTTCATGGCGTGCAGCTTACAATATAGACTACCAACTTAAATTCAGTTCACGTGGTAGTTCTTCAATTAAACGGTTACATAATTCAAGATAAGTATGCAACTAAAGAATCTTTTGATCTTCAGTTAATGTCAATATATTCAACAGTAGCAATTTTTTTTCGGCATTTTTAATAATAATAATAAAAAAAATCAATCGCACGATCTTCATTACACAAGGACAAACTAATATTTTCCATTTTAATGAAATTAGCAATCAATCATATAAAGTTTATAGGAGGAAAAAAATCAAGGCCATAAATCTATAGGTCAAATTTTTTTCATGTTTTTATTCCGTTCTGTTTATATATGTAAACATCTGTGCGTACAATATTTTTATGTTTATATTGCGCTTTTTTTCGTGGCGTAATCGCTATCAAATCTCTCAACCAAAGCTAAAAATATTCACATTTTAAAGAATTTAAATAAATTATCGTGCTTTCGTGCAATATACGACATCCCGCAATGTTCTTTAATTTATAAGAATAATTACCAATATTTTTAACGGCTTCGAAACTAGCAAATTTCGATTGTCTTCTCGTCGGCGGATCAGCGTATTTAATTTTATACATATTTTTTAATTACTGTATTAACTACTTAAGATTGTAATTAGCCGTAATTCTATCCGTCTGCCATTTTACAACTGGATGTCAAACAATATAATAGATGCCAGGAAGGATAATGTTACAGTTCGTTTACAGAATCAGTCCAGACGGTCACCATCAACGAACACCAAAGAAAACAACACGTTGCTTCGAAAGAATATACTACTATTGCGTCATACGTCTTTTATAAACAAACTAAACCATATATCAAATAACAAATATTTTACAAATGGCGTGAGATTTTCGTCCGTTTACAAACGGCCTAGGCCTTATGTATACAGAAGAAGATCTTTTCGTACACATACAAGGACCGTCGCACCAATCGAACACGGCGATTGTTTTTCACTTCTTTAATATTAATTTAACAATAAAATTCAATTTTGAACGTACGAAAATTAAAAAAAAAAACCTAATTTCATGTATAAAATTTCATCACCTATTTTTATTTAAAAAATATTCAATTTAAAAAAATAAATTACCTCAGTTTTAATTCGTGTCGTATCCACCGTATAGAATAATCCCGTTTGATATTATACAGAACGAAAGCGAAATTATAAAAGGAGAGAAGGAAAATATTCAGTCCTTTCCTTCTTCCGTTCGAAATGAAGTGAAGGAGAGTAGAAAGGCAAAAATTCGATCTAAATGATGATCGAAGTAACGAATAATCCGTCACTCGGATCATATATCGTATTGCGCCCACCACCGTTTCGAATTTAACAACTTTTTTTTGTTGTTGTTGACCTATATTGATACGTTGTAAAAAGCTTAATTTAAATTTTTTATTAATAATTTCGATGTTATTGTTGGCTTCTAATAAGTAGAAGAGAAAACAAAATATTTTATTTACAAATTTTGCACTCTAAACAATTTAATTCACAACAAGATATGCACGCACTGATGAGTTATAGTATAATATTTTTCCGAACAAGTGCCTAATGTCGGAAAGAATATCGAACGTTTTTATACGGTAAATTTTATTATTTATTAGAAATTTTCTTCTTTATTTAGATTTCTAATTATTATTTTTATCATAATATTAACAATATACTTCATAAATACAATAATATAAGAAAATTCAAAAACAATTTTACTATAGTTCACCAGTCTTTATTTGAATATTTAAATTTTAAAGCAACGAATAAAATAAAATAATTAAAGCATCAGAATTTATATAATATTCATCGGATGCATTAATATTATACAGTACTACTGTATATACTTTAGTTATAAGTAGACTGTATATTATTATACTTATTTTATTCTTAAATAATATTTACTAACTTGAAATTTTACTTTATAACATGTCATATTTTTATAAAATATTATAAAATTCTGAAAAGACATATCGATTGCATTTTATAATACTTATAAACTTGCAAATTTTATCGAAATTACGTACATCATGTCGACGATAAAAATATATTTATTGTATTTCAAAACTCCGGAACACTTTAGTTATTTACTATTAAAACGAAAGGAAGTATTTTAAATACTGGAATACATTTTCAAATCGAAGCAATATCGACAAACTCGTTACTTGCCAAGAAAAATTTTTGTCTTATAAAATTATCGTCAATTATTACTATCCTGTTACACCACCAATTTCTAACAGGTGTTGACATAAAGTCGAAATTGGAAAGTTAATGAATCATCGTAATTGTTTCAACTAAAGATATCATTTATAACCTACGCTTTTTCATGCTGCCTGTGGCAGTCTGCGTGATACCACGCCTTAGAACCACAAAAAAAGAAGGGCAAAAAAAAGGAAAAAAAAATGAAACACAGTACATAGAGTGGGAGCGGTTTTCCTGCTTCGTGTTTATAATCGAGATAAGAAGTTGTACTGTCCACTTAGTAATCAGTGATAATGGTGATTGATGAAAGTCGTCTCGTCTCTTTCTTATCGCCTCATCCGACTAAATAGAGGGTTTAGTAGTACAGCGGTTCGCGTGTGAACCCGAGGCCCGAAGGTGTTCGTGATGTTATCTCTACCCGGAGCTAGGTGTCAGGGCATCGGCGTGCCTCAAACCCACGTAACCTTTCGAATTTTAGGAAAAACACGAGCAAAAAGGATTGACACGAGAAGTATTTTTTTGCATTTATAAAGGCAACTAACAGTGGGTCGATGGAGTAATTAAAAATAAGAGAAAGCATTCCACCAACAGAAAAAAAAAGCTGATAAATAATAGGTATAATATAGGCACGCACGTAGGCATTTCCTCTAGGAATAGCAAGTTCCAAAACATTGGAAAAAGTTAAATAAGAATAGTAAATTAATTTTAAACTGTATACGGGCTATCAAATATCGACAATTTCAAGTGTTTTATAAAATATACATACAAATACTATATATACCCAACATTTAAACACGCCGAACACAACGACGTTCGCAACTTTAATTAATGTAAATTTTTACTGCAAATTCGACGTATCATAATTTAGGCGACAGACACAAAATTTAAATAGATTTTTGTTTCTTTTTAAAATGTAGTCGTAACTTCTTCTGGGCAAAAGTAATTCAAATTTATAACATAAATAACAATCTTTTATGAAAGAAACGTAATTTTTCAATAAAGAAAAAAAAAGCGGAGCAATAAAAATTTTATAGCTTTTTCGAAAGGAAATAAAAATTTTTATGCGTATTTTTTTTAAAAACGAAGATAAAATCTATTTAATCAGACATTTTAAAATTGATAATTCGAAAATTATTAGAAATCCAATTTACCGAACGAAAAATCTATTAAACAGGAAACATTAAGGGGAAAAAATTTTTAGACAATAAAAAACGAAGGGACGAAAAGAGTATTTAGGAATTATTAATCTTGGAACATAGCAACAATCAGACGTCGGGTGGACGTAAGCGATCACTTTCGACAGGAGAGGAAATGAAACAACACAAATATGCACGCACGCACGGAAAACCAGAAAAACCGGTCGTATCACGTTACGGCAGAGTAATGACAGGGTTGCTGCCGTACCGGGGAACGGTAATAAATTGCCACGGCAGTCGTGGAGGGAATTGGTACCCTCCCTCTCTAAACGAATTACACCGACGTTTACAACATCTCTTATCATCACGCGAGATCGCCATTTCTTATAGACGGGCGCCCGGGCGACCTTGGAAGGGGGGAAAGAAACCTCCCCGGTTTCTTCACGAATCATTACCGAGGCAACGCCCAACCTCGAAACAATTAGGAATCTAATGGGAAGGACGGACGCCACCGCACACTTCACTCGCTCCGTAACCAATCTCGGACGCATTACGGACCGAAAATGCCGAAAACGACCGAGAGGAAAGTCAGAGGTCGAGAACGGACGACGCAGGCCAAACGGAAAACAAAAACGTAAACGGAAGGCGTTAACGCACGCTCGGTGGCACACAAGTGCCCATTACTAATCACTTAGTTACGCCCCGTCGACCAGATAAGAGTAATTAACAGGAGTGAGGACGATCCGGCATTCGACCGCCTCGGCCGGTTAACTGCTTCGATTGTTCTCCTTTGGCAAGAAGCTTCCCGCAATTTCCACGCTGGAAAATTTCGAATAACCATTCGGACGAACAATTAACGGTCGATCCGCACTTTATTCCGTTCCGCTTCTCTCCCCCCCGACTAAAATTGTAGCTTCCGAGACGGGGTCCACGTTTGATCCGGTAATGACGAATATCTCACACTGTCCGTTAGTCATTAGCTAAGAGATAATGACACGCTAGAAGTCCTGTAAATGCTACTGTGTACAATGGAGCAAAATAATTTGATCGCGTTGGATACCCGCAGACGTCGCACGCTCTAATGACTGGGTGCGGATTGACGAATGGATGGTTGCCGTGACTAGGGCAGGGCGCGTGACCTACCAGGCATCACTCTTGCTAGTCACGTGTCGCTCTATTCCCTACGGCTGACTGAAAGAGAAAACGGGATGCCGGGCCAAACATTTTACCGGCTAAAATAAAAAGGTTAAGTTGAACGATAATATAATCTGCTAAAAATGTAACGCATACTTTTCTATTTTTTAAATTCGAATTTTATAGCGTTTAAACTTAAATTAGATCTACTTTACGACGGTTGTTTCCCCCTCCTCTCTGTTTTTTTTTAATAAAACAGGAATGGCTGAAAGGAATGTTATATAATGCATTAACGTTGCGTGCATCAATTATACAATATGCACTGCAACAATTATTTATTTATAAAAGCTTAAGAATTTATTTTTTACAATATGTAAATATATTTTAAATTTTCCGTTAAAATTTAGATTTATATGCATTAAATATATGCATAAATTATGCGTAGCTATTGAAGTTTTTACGAACGAAGCAGGAATAAATTAATCTTTAGAGCAGTATTTTCGCTAATTTTTCTACGGTAAAACAGACTGGAAACGGACAAATTGCTACACGATTAAGATTGGTTAAGATTACCTATTTTTTATTAGGTTAAACGCAAAAATTAAACACTTTTGCATTAAAATTAGCAGAAATAAATAATGAAATTTACGAGTATTTATAATTATAAATCAAACAATACCTTTGGCTCATTACTTGACTTATTTAATTGAACCACTGGAGAGCTTTTAGTAATAATAAGACCGAACTTGGAAAGAGTTCGAACGAAATAAGATAAGAGAACGAAAATTATCCATTAGTGTTTCACAGAAATTCACTACTGGTAAGAAAACAAACCGTTCGCCTACATCCAATACAATTGCAGAATTTAAGAGGAAGCATAATAATTTACTTACCCAAATTACATGATTTTATTAATATACCCATCGTGCGTATAATTCGTCCTTATGAAAATAGCGCTTTGATTTATCACCGTACATTGATTGCCCATAAAAGATAATAGATAGTTTTCCATTAGTTTTCGTGTCCAATAATAAACGAATATATTTTTCAAGGTCGAAACTTTTGCATCAAAACGATGGTCGTATTTCATTTTACGAACCAAATTGAATGTATCTACACAAATTTTTCTCCATCAAATTACAATAAAAATAAAAATCTACTTTGATAAAGTTATCAAATAATGATTGTTTTTAAGCATTGTTCGAGATAAATTTTATTATCCGAAATAATTATTTCGTCGTGACGTCGTGCGAGATAATAAATCGTCCGACGTTCGAGAGAGAAAGTGCCCAGTCCAATAAAAAGCATTAAAAATGTCCAATGCATCCATAAAATCTACAAAACCGGATTTTTAGCTTTCTTGCAGTTCTTTAAATATACGATAGACATATTCCCGAATTTCGAGTTTTGAGATCAATTATTCGAATGCCATTCCAAGAAATAACACTATTTACTGTACGAATTTCGTTTTACGCGAAGCTATATTTAAATATGTGGAATAATTTTAAATTCTAGTAACGTCTGAAATGTGCAGAAGCACCGAAATTGTCTTATTTCAAAATTGCACAAGAACGAAAAAGGAAATACAACTGGCATTTTATTATTATTATTAATGAAGAAGTTATTTCCTTATATCAATGTATCGATTTGATTTTTGTGGAACACGGAATACGCTTTTCGTGATGT